AGGGATCTGTTTCATGCCATAACTTGACCGGTTCCTACATAGACGCCGCTTCTACTACGATCAAAGCGTGGTTGAAATCGTGGCCGATCGTGACAAATCGCAGAAAAAATAAGCGCAGTATGATCGCAGTAGGGTTTTCATGATCGAAGAGCTCTACACTCTCGCCACTCTTATTTTGAACATGATTAAAACAAGCATAGCGGGGTCGTGGCCAACAAGAATCGGGGTAAAGTCATAAAAAGAGCGTAGTAGAGGCGCCGTATTCGTACAAGCAGAGAGGAAGCATCGTGGAGAGATCGTGATCGTAGTAAAAGCGCAATAAAAGCGTAGGAACTTATCAAGTACACTCCTACAACTTTCCTACTACGTTCTTACTACGTGTCCACTACGATCTCTCTACGTTCCTGACGATCCTACGAAGACCTACAATAACCTTGACGACCATTTGCATTTGAGACTTCGGATTTTTCACATATTGTAAAGAACGTGAAAAATTTGCAATTGCAAGATATATATGCATCATCGCCAAAATCGTACTAAAAGCGTTATACAAACGAAACATGATGGGCACCACCGTAGCGATATCGTCGTACAGTCGTCTAGGTCTTCGGCATCGGGTGACATAAGACTCCAGGGCTTTCCTGTCACCGAGGGGCAAATATTCTGGTATAGTCGCCCGAGAAGCCATGTGGTATATGTTATATGACATTTTTAAAATTAAAAGAAAATTTAAAATCATTCAAAATCGTTAAAATTTACACAAATAATCCAAAAATGCCTTCTTGACGTTAAGAAATACGCTGTGTTGTTTACTTTTGCTTAGCAACCGACGTCATAAAATCTCGAACCCGAACTAAAATGCGTAACGTAAAAACACGTGAACGTGATCTAAAGGGTGACATAACCGTTTCCGTCGGGGGTGACATAACTGTTTCCGGTGTGACTCAGCATTTTTCAGGGTTTATAGCGAAACTTATTACATTTGTGATATAATAAGAAAACTTATTCAAAAATGTTATATAGTATGATATTGAATGTAGTCGCGGCAGCGTTGCGTAAACCCAGTACTTAAACGCGGTCGCTGGACGGCAACAGTTTACGCAACATCGTAGTAGAAGGGTGTTACCAGTGCGTTTGACGTAGAGGCATCTTAGTACGGTCGTAATGAATACTATAATTTGCCAATTTGATTTAGATGCCGATCGGTTTGGCGATCCGCCCAGATCCAAAACTTTTTCAGATCGTGGCTCGATCGGGATGATCGTCGTAAAGTCGCAGCTCTGTGTGAACGTGGGCTTATTGTGACACGGGGCCTCTGTTAAATATAGTATGGCTCTCAATGTCCCTATTGGGATTTGATCCGGCGACGTAAAAATTAGCTACCAAATCTGTGATTCTAACCACTGCGCCACACGGACGGTTGCAATCAATATAAGGAATTCAAAATAATGTAAACAAATGTGAAGAAACTTTTTTACTGAACCATTAAACGTGGGTTTATGATAATAAATGAATTAGAAAAACATGTGGTTAGGCCAAAATAAAAAATACCTTTGTTTCCCCTAACGCGACCGACTCAACTAAATCGCACCGACTGAAAAGATTTTTTGAATATGATAATTTCATAATTTTTTTTTATTGTTAACCAAGTTTTATAAAATACAATTTCATCAAAATCAGTTTTTATCAAACCGGCCGACATTGTTTTACTGTGATTTTCAAGCATTTGTTGGAAACGAAATGACGCCCAGATGTGATTACAGGGCATTAGCTCTTTATAAAACAATGGCGACGTCTCAATCTTATGCTTTTAGCAGGAATTGGAATTGGAATTCTTCACTCTTGAAACAATTCGGTAACAAAATTACCATGACTAATTAAGAGTGTTTCGGAGGTGTCTTGGCGTCTACATAGGAGTGAATAAATTTTCGAAAGGGACGTTAAACAACAAACAAATAAACCTGTATTTGAATTTAAGGTACGTAATACAGGGTAAGGCCCGCCTCATGAGTAGATGAGGGGCCCATCTAGTGAACACATCATTCAATTTCACTGCATTTTATTTAATTTGAGTTTTGATCTAATAACCAATTCATCTATGTTCCTATGTTTACTACAGTATATGCCATTATGGAACCATAGGAGTTGTTGTAAATATGTCTGCATATTCATCCTGATTAATATAATTCAGATGTCCTTTCTTTACGTTTCTTCATGCCTTTATTTAGTGATTAAACTTCGTGACTATGACATTGTATATAGCATTTGTATCATTTGTAGATTCGGTTTGGTTTAATTAAATATTGTTAACATACTCTTTCCAAATAGTTTTGAAATCATGATTCAGCTTCCTGAGACGTTCAGTGTATTTTTCTTTAATTAGGCCCTTGAAGATTGGTTGTTTCTTTGCTTTTAATCCCTTCAAGATTTGTTTGGATGACATTTCCCATTGCTCCAAATTTAGACGTACTCAGCACTTTTTTGCCATTAAGCAGTGGGGGATCTTTTTTGAGCCAGCATCTTCTGCGACACTGGACATAAGTTTTTATGGTCCCCTTTGAAGGACCGTTTTCAACGTTACTCATAGGGATTTGAACCTGCGATTTAAAATTAGCCACTACCTTCTAAACTCAGGAGAAAAATGCTCCAAAACCACTGCAAATCTTATGGCCCTCAAAGTACATTGATCGTCTATAAGCTTTTAAGGCTGATGAAAGGTTTTAAAAAATATACTCGTATGGCTAGTCTTTGCGTATTTGAGAATCTTGTCTATTTTATTCAATTTATATTAATGTAATGGCGTGAGATATTTCACAAGTACAACTAAACAACAGTTGTAAATTAATCATGAATTTTGTTTTTAAACGGCATATGTACGATACTTAGCATTTTGTTCACAAATCGCTTTCTTTTGTATTTTTCTTATTTATAAAGGTTATTTTCCATTAAATTTTAGAATGTATTTTCAAAGCTGCTGTCAGAAAATAAAATTGTTTACCTACCTACCGACCCAACTTGAGAATTTAGGGTCGGGTTAGGGGAAACAAAGATATTTTTAATTCCGGCCTTATATGATAATAGATAAATTAAGAGAATATCAGTGTAACAAACTAAATTTAATCCCATAATATACCCCTATTGCGCAAGTGTAAATATTGTTCTTTATCCTGTGGGGAGCCACTCGATTTGTAATTTTTACCCGGGCTTATTGCTCAAAGAGCAATTGCCGGCTTATGTGATCCTGTTCAAGGCAGGATGTTGACCCCATAGTTGCCATTTTAAAGTTACGTGCAAAAATATAGCTCTTACTCTCAACCGCTTTTGAGATAATACAAACGCTAAATAAAGCAATAATAATAAAACGAAGTTTTATCTATATAAAATAAACATTAGTAGTAATGACTTTGAAAACTTCATAAGTCAAAGAACATATGTAGTTCATTAGCGTAAAGATTTTTGATAATCAGTGTTACCGTAGTTCTCTACACATACGAGGTAAAGCAGGAGAGGGAACCAGACTGGCCTGTTTGTTTACATTCAGCTGCGGTACCAGATTAATTCTGATTCTGACAAAATCGGACCGTGGTATTAGGATTGAAAAACTCACTGTCAGTGTCTTATCATTTAAATTGATAGTTTTAAAATAATTTTTTCATCAGAATATAAACGTGATTCATGTAAGAAATCCATTTTACTCTGTAAATGAGCCCGGCTCTCTGTACTTCTGAGTACTTTGATATCTACCTGAGAACTCGTGTTCGGGTAGTACCCGGGAAGTCACAGCCGAGATAAGACCTGTTTGGCTTGTTGTGTTGAAGTAGCTGGGGCGAGTACTCAACTGCATCAGGTATTTGAAAGTGCAATTTTTAAAATATGTTTTATTGTTTGAGTCTACACATGTAGTATGGTTGATTTATTATATTTTTCCCTAGGGTCCTAAACCCTCGGACTTTCGTCCCGTTTCGTAATTAACAGGTCTTGGGCGGGGCACTACAGCTAATTACATTGACAATAGCCTGTCGGCAGTCCAGGGTGTGAGGGAGAGGCTTGCAATGTGTAATGGTTTTGCAGTTACAGCGGCGAATGTGAGAGAGTGTACGACAGAGTACGGCAGCCCTGACGGACACCTCAGGACCAGCAATTAAAAGTTATGTGTTTAATATCTTGAATAACGAAATCACCTTTTTGAAATTATAACAAGCCAAAGTTAATCCAGACAGCATTGTGAAAGTTTATTATGTGTTATTTGTGAAATTATAATCAATTTGATTTGTGAAAGAAAAATACATTTACCAGAGGAAATTAAAAACCAGAACTCAAATCTTAAGCAAGGGTGAACGTGTACTACGTTTTAAAGGACACTCTCCAGGACTGACGTGCTGCTGATAGACATTTCATTTCTATATTTTTTAATTGTTTTTGTTGTAAAAATTTACTTTTGTTTTGTTAATTAAATTTTGTTAAAATTTCATTTGTTTTGTTTCCTTCATCAGTTCATTTATTCAAGTTCTTAAAGTGTATAATCCACATCTCAAAAATCAGTATACATACATGCAACACAATTCTTCATGATAAATATACAAGACGATCACATATTCCTTCGTAATTAGTTGTAATCCATTGGGACATGCACAGTTTTGGAATAACATATAGAATAGATTTCTGATAATCAATTCCGATACTAATTATCGCCAGATTAGAGAGTTTAATAACAATATTCATCATGTCACGGCTATTATTGGAAAAATCGTTTGTTTTGATGAATGTGATGCGTGACTCATAAAAAGTAAAAAGATCTAAAATGTATATCTTAACATCTCCAGCCATAGGAACCTGACGTTACTCATTTTTCTTTTCAAAAATGAAATATTATTACGTAGGTGGTATAATGTTTTTTTTATTAAAAGAAAAATAAGTAACGTCGGGTGCCTGAAAACTAAAGTTTGTTTTTACTGCATGTATATATAAGCAAGAATATAAAACTCGACTGGAAATCTCACCTTAGCAACAAGACAATCATCGTGATAGTTCAAGATGTTCCAGACTTTTTGAAAAATCTTCCTAGGAGAACTTTTTGGATAGGATTCATATTTCTCGGGCATACATGTACCAGAATTCTTGTAGTCCTTCAATAAGGCCTTTTCCCTATAGTGACTAGCCAAGCGGTTCAAACAACAGCGCTCCATTTTTTTGTGAGAAATCTCCCAGAAATCTAGTTCCTCTTTGAACTCTTCTGGGCAAGTAGAAATCGGCATATGAAGAATCCCCGTCAAATGAAAATCCAAAATAGCCTCGAAGGCTTTTTTCGGTCGATTTATGATGATTCTTTGGCTTGGGCATTCTCGCACCAAGTCCCTGATTTTTTCACAATGTCCCTCTGAAATATCTTCAATGGAAAAACAGTATTTTTGTCCTGTGACGTACACGAACAATTCGTTTACCATCTCGTTTTCGTATTTAATCTCGTTTGCTCAATTCAGTTGAAGTCGCAGTTATTAAAGTTATCTGTATTACACTGGATCAGTTGGCGAGCACGTTTCCATGGTTATATTGGGTATGCGCAAAGACGGGTTCAATTTTCCTCCAATCAGATTTCAAATAAAAACTTTTTTATTAAATTATATACTGTACATGTATTTTTTTTTCGTTCATTCGTTCTTGATATTTTTTAGATAAGATTTTCGTTTGCCATTAAGAATTAACTCTTCAATTCTTAAAATATTCTCTCAAACAAAATTAAGGCAAAACGTTATTCAAGAATACCAAAACGCAATCTTTTTTAAAAAAATTCATATCCAGGTTCAAATTCATAAAATTTATCCACAAAATGTGTTGAAGAGGTAAAAGCAAATGTTGAACTCTTTTGGGTTTTATTTAAAAAAAAATACTTCATTATACTGAGGTCCGGTAACTCCATAATGCCGAGAAATGGCAACTTTTGGACTAATTAATAGTATCATTTTTTTTCCAAAGAACTGTTAAAGGTATCAAGCAAATACATGTATTTATCAATTCCTTTTATATACTATGTAGTGGAAAATCGATAGATACGTTATAGTAGGATATACATGATGTATTATTGTGTAGCAAGTTTTATTGGATTTGAAAGAAAAAGATTGTACGAGGAGTAACGTTTTGAAATAATACGAATTCATATCTCCAGAAACCCTGACATTAATCTATAAACAGCTTTGTTCTTATTGAAATAGTAACGTTTGATATAAAATCGGACAAAACATTATTTGATGATTAGTCCTGAAAGGGAATCAATAGTTCCTCGATGAAAAAAGGATTCGAACGCATATACATTGTATATGGGAGAATTATGTACAAGTATTTAACTGAAGCTTACATCTAGCGAATTTTATCAGAATATGAATATATCTTTATTCTTTAGTGTAGTATTGTTCTGACAGATTTAAAGAAAAAAAAACACAGCTTTAACAATCACGTCATTAAAAAACTGTCAATAGAATAACGAGAGCTTTTGCTAAAAGTGCGCCAAGTATTTAAAAGGCTATTCTATTCTATAAAAATGCGTCTTTAAATAGCTTTTAAAAATGTCCAGGCCTGCTTTATGTCATTAGGAAGGCCATTCCACAAAAATGCTGCTGCCCAACTGAGCCGACGTTCACCATGTCTTTGTCCTGATTTTTGGCATAGCAAACCGCGATGTCGACTCAGATCGCAGAGATCTGGCGGGGTTGTATTCCATTCTAAGGTGGAGCTAACCCGTGTAACGATTGGTAGATATATGTCAAGATGATTTTATTTTGTGGACGAAAATAAACAGATATCCAATGAAGATCAGCAAGAATAGGAGTGCTCCCGTTCCGATGATCTTGTAACTAGACGAGATGCAGTGTCCTGCAGTGTGCTCTTTAAAATTTCATAAAGAAGGCAGTTTCCATAGTCCATTCTGGCAGTGATTATGGAATTCACCATGATATTAAGGAATTCTTTTGTGAGAAAACGCCATATACATCCAATATTGCGTATTTGGAAATAGCATGACTTGACTACCGAGGATGCCTGTTTTTCCATAGTAAGGTGTTGATCAAAAAAGACACCTAGTTTTCACACATGGTACGCTTGCAATGATGTTATCACCAACTTCTAATTGCAATTTTAGCAGATGTTTCTGATGCTGCCTTGTGGTGAAAATTATTAACTCGGTCTTTTCTTGGTTCAGTTTATGTGGGTTCGATTTCTTCCAACCAATTTCACTAAGGCACGCTTCAAGTCGAGAGAAATAATTGTTCCATTTTTCCAGTGGTCTTATAATCATGAAGATTTGTGTTTCATCTGCACAGCAGTGATTTATCATTCCATTTTGATGGCATATGGTTCCAAAAGGTTAGGAGAAAAAGCAGTACAATTTCGGTCCTACAGATCCTTGTGGACACCAAAAGACAACTGCCTTGCATCTGATCGGACGGATCCAACTGATATTTTCTCTTCTTGAGGTACATGTAAGACTTGGTGCACTCAAGAGCACCATCGCGGAATCCATAAGACACAGTTAAGCACTGAAACAGTATCTTATGATCGTTGACATCAAAAGCAGCGGGCAAATCCAGAACGAGGACTGCTGAAAATTGTAGGTCCAGAGCTGTCACAATATCATTGTGGACCTTGATTAGGGCCGTTTCCGTGGAGTACCTAGGATGATATGCCGAGTGAAGTGGATCGTCAAGAGAGTTCGCATTTAAGTGGGCATCAATCCTACAAGTCACAACTTTAACCAAATATTTTTTTAGATAAAAGTTTAGTTTGATACGGGTCAATAGTTTTTCAACATTTCCTTATCTAGTCCAGGTTTCTTAAGAAGTGGACGAACTATGGTTTCCTTTCAAACAGACAGGAGCTAGAGATATTGATTGTATGTTGTTTAACGTCCCTCTTGAGAATTTTTCACTCATATGGAGACGCCACCACTTGTCGATGGAGTGCAACAAATTTTTGTGCTATACTCGGCACTTAGGGCCATTGATCAGTAAGGGGTCTTTTTCGTGCCAGCACCTACTGTGACACGGGACCTCAGTTTATATGGTCTCATTCAAAGGACTGGTCTCCACGTCCCACAGTGGGATTCGAATTCGCGACGTAAGGATCAACTCCTTACGATCTGGAGATGAATTGACAATGTCTGTGACAAGCGGCATTTTTGGATTCATGCACTTTTTTAGTATCTTTATGGGAATAGGATCCAGTTCGCATGATTTATTGGGTGCCTTCATTATTAAGGATCTTACTTCATCTTCTGTGGAACGTCCAAAATTCAAAAGTACAAATCCAATTATAATATATGTATGTGCCTAGATAGCTGTCTTCTTTTCCTGTTTCTTGTTTAAGTGCCTCTCTAATAGACGTTGTTTTGTCTATGAAGAACGTTGAAAATTCATTTGCAAGACCTTCATCTCTGATGAATAATGACTCTCTTGATTCTTGCCCATCATTAAATTCGTCACTGGATACTTTCCTGAATTTTAGAAGAATAGAATTCTTCTTTGGCCTTATAAAGAAAGGGGCCTGCATGATTAAAATCCTGTTTTGAAAAACTGATGGTGTATCAGTTTAGTTCTTCGCCAAAGTCTCTCCGCTCTTCGCTTCTGTTGTTTCGCTGGCCTTAGCTCGTCTGTGTACACTGTGTGTTAGCTTATGTAAATAGGAATTGACTTACTCACATGAGGCGCACGAGTGTCTAAAATATGAGAGGCATTCGTTGTAACTGTACTAAATGGTCGACAGACGTACTAGAATTCCCATTACGTGCGTATTCCTCTTGTACAGTTGTAATTGTTTTTGATATCTGTATTCATCTCAATTATATTGATATTCCCGAGTCTTCTAAATGTAATCTCTTTTCGTTGACGTCGTGGGTTTTTGCAGTTGATAGTTGCCGGTAGAGGGCTGCAATTTTGTCCTATACTCGGAACTTGGGGGCATTGAGCAGGGAGGGATCTTTTTCGCGTCAGCACCTACATGTATTGCAACACGGGACATCGGTATATACGGTCTAATCCGAAGGACCGGTCTCCAGGTCTTACAGGGGGATTCGAACCCATAACGTAAGGATCAATTCCTACTTTGTGTCTCTGGAGCAGACGCTCTAACCACTGCGCCACTCCTATGTCCTAAGAAGATTCCTGTTGATTTTGAGGTCAAAAGGTCAATGTCGTAAATTCTGTTTTAACATTTTCGTTTTCCAGCGATATCTCGAGAAGCCTTTGCACTTTTGCAATCAAATTTCAAATATATACATAACAACTCCCTAAAGCCAAATGAAAATCCTTGCTGATTATGAAGTCAAAATGTCTAATGTCAAGGTCATGAATTCATATATTCTGTTTGTGTGTTAAATATTTATGTACAAGCAACACCTCAGGATGCTTCTGAGCAATTGTAGTGAAATTTTACACCAAATTCCGAGGGGCCCGATCGGGACTTTATAAGGCACCCCCCCCCCCCTCCAACTCATTCTTCTTAAAGAAGGCAACATTTTCAATCCTTGGGACACTGTAGTTTCATCAAAGAGTTGTCATACTGCTCTATACAACAGCACATTGGAGAAGAATCAACAGATCATAAACTAATGATAAAGATCTATTATTTATTGCTCAACATACTGACCAAAGTAACATGTCAAATAGCTGACCATGTAAACAGCATAGATTTTATGACTCAATTTCATAGAAATTATATACATCTCACAAAAACAAAAAAAAACATAATGGAGAAAAATATAACAAAAAATTGTATGTATTGTACAATATAAGATACATGAAGTTTTTAATGTTGCAATATCAGCAATTTTTTTGTAAATTTCAGAAAAATTAATGATATATTCTAATTCAACATTTAAAAAAAAAGTACTTTTGGTCTTATTACTAATTTGGCAATTGCTTATAAAATCTAAATACCACTTTGCTCATCTTCAGGCATTGTAAAGGATGAAGAGTGGATATCTGGGTGATTTAAATCACATTTGGTTTTTAATCAATTATGGCATTTCTGACTAGTACACTATATGAAACAGTTCCAAGAAATAAGCAACATACATTTCATCATGTACAAATGTGTTCATGAATGACAAAACAAATGTTATTCACCATCTAAAATGATAAGAAACATACATATACCAGCCAATCAGATATTAACTTATCACATACCAAAAATTAAACAATTATTTTTTTTTTACTTTTAATTAAAATAGATAATAAAAGTGTTCAGTACTTTATTATTCTATTATCCAATACACATACAAAGTCAAATTTTTGAAAGTTTTTTTTTTTTGTTAAATTGTATTTTTTAAGACAACCATATGAAAACATTAAACATGTGGATAAGAAAAATCTGAGCCATTTCCACCATTCTCTATCCACACTTTTAAACAATACATATAGACACAACATTTTCAATACTTCAGCTTAGAGACTCTAAATACACACAACTACTTAATGATGCATCATAACTTCCAAATTAACTGTTTTTGATAAGGAGGGGAAATCTACTCCCAAAGTCACGGAGGGACTTTTTCAAGAAATTTAAAATAAAAAGAAAAAAGTTTTAAACACAAAGTGTCCGCTATTAACAGTAACTAATAACACAGCTTTTTCTTAGCTGCAATAATGTATCCCTCTGTTTTTCTCTGTTTTCACAAGAGGTAAATTTCTTGGAATTAATTAATAACTGTTTGCTCGAGAATGAAAATTTAAAAATATGAAAAACGTGAACCATCAAACAACTTTCTAACAGTTTTAAGCTAAATATTTATTGTTATCAATTTAAGACTCCCAATTTGCCTTATTTACTAGTAGAAGTATTTCAATTGATGTGACAACAAAATTATGAAAAGCAACGTTAAAAAGTCATCGGTGAATACTTCCACTGTCTGGGTGGGCAATTTATAAAATGTTGAGGAAAAAACAACTTTAAAAATCATAATAATGCTGCATCAATTATCACAAAATAGTAAATGTACGTAAAAATGGCATGCCTCTAAAATACTTAAACATAACTAAACATAAAAAAAATTCTCATAAATGCAATCAAAAAATGTTTGGTCTAAGATCTACTGGCTATTTTTATCAAATTATGCATGAAAGTTTGTGCATTTCACAGCTACAAAAAATGGTCAGTTGATGTTATAAGATATTTAAACACACCAGATATTTCATGCCAATATGAGCTTTCCTCTAGCAGAAAATGTAAGTGGTCAAATACTGACGATACTGGTTTAACACTGCAATTAGCCAAAAATCAAAGTCGCTGGTTCAACACTTGCTTCTTACATGTACACTTATCTTTCTCTTACTTTTTGGATGCAAAACCAAAGTATTTTCTAGCATTTTCTTGCTATTAGACTGGGCTGGTGGGTACTGTCTCCTCCAGGATTATGATAAACCATCCATAATCGGTATCCATAAAAACAAAATAACCTAGTGTTTTGACCATAGATTGAATAAGGCCACGTTCAATTGCATCAGTCACTTATATTTTCATGCAGTAAGCTAACAGTGCATATACACATGTCCTCAATTTAAAAAAAAAAGTTATAATCCCTGAACAAAAATTTTTTCTCACCAGAAAAAATCTTAATGAGGACATCGGTAACATCTGGTCTTTACAAACGAGTATCTGGTCTTTACAAACGAGTTTCTGAAACACTAATTACAACAAAAAACACAATGTGCACCAGAATACCCCAAAAATATGTAGTTTGAACAGTTATTGTTTTTGGATTTCTAGTACAATTATAAATGAACAAATAATTTAAGGACAATACTAAGCAGAATAACCTTATAAGGTAAAGAGAACTGGCCAATATTTCACACAGAAATTCATGCATGCACCTCATAACAATAAGACACATAACCAACACTGAACACAATGCATACACAGTGATTTCAACATTGCTTAGTATGTTGTTGACCTTTGTATATACATATACTTTATCTATATATGCAATGGGTAAAAGATAATTTATACAACATAAAAATACATGTATTTTTAAAAAAAATCATTTGCTTGTAAAAATGCAGCTCTACTGGTTAAATCAAGGTTAAATTTAACAAGAAAAGTATATTTAATAAAGTTAATCAATCATTTTCAATTTCTGAACATTAGCTTCAAATGTACATATTTTCAATGTTTGAAAATTTGACTGATAAAACGGATTTGAAATGGTGTGCGAGGTTGTATTCAAATGGAGATTTTGGGGATAAGAAATGAACCAATCTCCACAACGAACAAGAATAACACAAAGACTGCTGTTTATATAAATTTTCAATTTTAAAGGTTTTCCAAGTCTCAAACAGAACATTGTGATATCAGTTCACGTTGGGGACTCTCAATGCCCTTATGCAACAGACAGACACTTGCAACAATAAATTATCAGTAAAAGTACAAGTATTTGTTTATAATAAATTCATTATACTTCATCATTTGATAAAATTATCAACTGTAACAATAAAAACAATATTTGTACAATATACAAAACAATCAAAATTACAGATCAGAGAATACAATTGTAAACAAATGAAGTACATGTAGTTAGCTTAAAATATTCAGCAGAGAATTGCACAACCCTTTTAACTCCAGCATCAAGAAAACCTACTTGTCAAGGTACAACTTGTTCATTTGAGAAAAAAAACCCTGAAATTTGACTTTTCCTTTTATAAAAGCACTGATTTGGCATGACTATGCACTGATCCATACACTGAATCATTCTTGGCAGTATGGTTTGATTTTCAGCAGACAGATATGAACACAAAACTCTAATAACAGCATTAATTTTTAAAAACAGAGTCCTCATGTTCTGTAGTGTTGTAACAGTCTGGGGATGTGGGGGTCATGATGAGACACAGGGAGGGGGGGTAAGGGTCTATGTAACATGAACTCATTATCCTCGTGTCGATAATGAACGTTCCTCACCACCACGTTCAGGTGGTCCTGCTCATTCTCGGCACTTTCACTGGCAGATTTAACACCATTATATTTCCCCTTCCCCTCGTCAAAATGTCTTTTCTCTTTCCAACATAGAATTCTGTGGTCCCTTGCTTGTAAGATGATGAAAATGACCCCGAATAACAAGATGGCGGAGGTGCATAGGATGATGACCCAGACAAAGAAACTCAGCATATCTGGGTCCAAGAAATTCATGATTAATTTCTTGCGACACAAGTTGTCTCGAAGCTCATAACCCTTCCTGCACTGAAAGCAGTCCTCTAGTTCAGGACCTTTGCATGTCTTGCAGGCCTCATTACAAGGGTTACAAGTCCCGTGACGGAAAAACATGGTCTCTTTTTTGGCTTTTTTTGAGCTGTTTTTTCTTGACATGACTGTTTCCATGTCACCATAAAAATATTCAGGGCAGGTTGCCACACACTCGTCCTTGTGCTTGTAGAATCCAATTTTACATTCTGAAAAACACACAAAAAAATTCAAACATTTTCAAGGCATACATACACCAAGACTCTTGATTAACTCAAAAAAGTTGCATTCACTAACTTTCCTTATTCAAATCATATTTCCTTAGTTTACAAAGTTCTAAACTGAGTAAACCAAATACTATCAAACTTTTCATATTACAGACTATGTACGGTACACTGCTTTTAGCAAGACATCACTGAATTAAAATTTACAATAAATATTTTTACAGACAATATATACAAACCAAAGCACGTTCCCTCTGGACATTTATTTGCATGTTTGGAGAACACAGGCTGAGTAATGTTTTGGCTCTGTGGGTGCTTGTCTGTTCCGTAGATTGTCATTTTCCAATCCTTTAATTCAGCTGTAACAAAAATAGCCAGAATTCAATCACAGAAACAAAAAAAAATTGTAAAAGATATAGTTTGCATGTATTATAATTCATATAGTTTTATGAAAGATGATTTATAAAATGATCTAGACTCACAACATCTATAAATGCCTCTATTAAGCATTGGACACAGCCATTTTTTATACAGCCAGGTTTTATACTGTATCACATATGGACAAGTGGTGCTTATTAATTAAAAGTATCATGCACACATAAACTACAAAACACAACTACAGAATGGGATAGAATTTAAATAATTGATTTTTTTTTTACACTGTATATTACACTGATTATTTTTCCCCACTCTGATTGCAGGGCTGGAATATCATTATTTAGTCATAGGAGATAATACTGTAAACCAAGTATAATTTATAATTGACAACTTTTAGTTCCAATTCATCAGCCTCAAATTCATCTTGGACTATTAGATTTTGCAAATAATAAAACATTATACATAAAAACTGACAGTACATACATGATTTACAGCTAGAAATATTTCCAAGTAAAAAGAAGGCACTAAAACTTCGTGATATTTCTTGCACATGAATTAAAGATTAGTTTACAATCAGTGTTATCTTCCCCTGCATCAATTTTTTTTGAACTGGTAAGTGGTAAACATGGCTCAAAAGACTTGTATGTATACCTAGTAATAGTTGTATCAGGCTTGGTTGTTTGATTATTGATGTTAAATTAGATAATTATATGACTGTATGCAGCACTATCTGATATTTATTTATATCATTCTTCATGCAGGTAATATTGATGTAAATGATCAACAAATCTGTGTGTTCCTACCATTTATTGACTGTATATTTGGTCAGTACAATTATTTGATAACTCTCATGAACAGTATTAACCCTGGCCTTTGGATTTGTGAAAACCAGTACATGTTATGTCTTTATTGAGAACCTGAATGACAGTTTGGACTCATACATGTACAAATCAATATCTATGTAATATTTGAAGGGAAGACTACAATACATCATCATACGTCCATCATCACACAACTTTATCTCTACATTTTAGATGAATTGCCATATATCCTGTGAAGTAACACATACACTCCTTAGAACAGAATTACCATAGGTGTGACATTATTTTTTTTTATTTTTTATCTGCAATATTTTTGGTGATACATATTGTACTTGTAAAGGTGTGAACAGGCAATTAATATTCTCTGTATGTTATGCCAGATATATATTGTAGTGGATGAATTATACAAGGAAAAATGTCTATAGTGTGAAAGAAAAGTATATAATGAACAAATTAATTTTGTTTTGGTTAAAATTTATACAGTAAAACTTTGTTATAATGAAGTCACTGGGTCCAATGATATTACCTTGCTAGATCCATAATTCCTTATATTGTATTACGAATTCATTAAATTTATATAGCTGGGGGATTCATGATAACTTCGCTATACTCATGAATTCGCAATATCCGTGTTTGTACTAAACGAGTCTTACTGAACATGTATATGTGTGTGTGTTTTTAAACAAGCCTAGGGTAAAATCACAAATTATGGAGCCCATTGATATTTATGATGGTGCTATAGATTACATGGATTATTTCTTTAATCAGCTTTATACAGTAAACCCACTTGTCATGTTCACACTTTCTAAAATACAGTCACACCTCCCTATTGATGAGAAGTCGGGGCAATGAAGTTAACCAGGGAATATTTTCAGCATTTTAGCAGAATTAGAAGTTAAGGGTTCTCCTAAAAGGGAATACTTCTCCCCTTGCTGTAAGGTTTGATGCCCCACCCATCTATTAATGACAAAAAATTATTATAATAATGGTAAAAAAATATAATTGTAGCTATTATGCAGAATGTATAAATTAAAGAAAAAAAATTTAATTTATAATTACCAAAAAGCAAAAAAAAAAATTGCTGAAATTTTGTTTAGAATGAACATTAATAATGTAAAACTATGCTAAAGAGGATGAAAACTCTATCAAACACAACTTCTAATATCTGTTTTACAAAATTGAAGATGCAATACCACTTCATTTGTAAATTATTAATGTTAAGAAATACCATGCATCCATATGCTGTCATGCACTTTGAATGCAGTTAATTTTTTTGATACTAGCATTTGTTTCAGTGCATATATGCAAGCTTCAAAAAAGATATTAGCAAAACATATTTGTCCATGATAAAACAAAATAAAGAAGAACTGAGAGACATATATAGGACCACAGTGAAGTAAAACTGACAACATCTCAGAGAAGTTGGGCATGCAACAGACAGTATGGCTTGCCTTCCGAGAGATTAGACCGCACCATCCGCAAATATTCACCAGTAGACATGTTGTTTTTCTTGGCCAAAGTCTCAAAAATGCAAATGTGTTTCTCATGCGATGGATGGTTGCCATAGTAATAATCATAGTCACTGTTGTGATAAGTAGGGTATGTTTTTGGACGATTCCTGTTGACATAATAAGGGGAGTGGTATTCCCTGATCTTATTGACTTCAGGATTAGGTAATGGAGGAAACCCACCCTCTTTATTGTGGCGCTTTATGAGGCTGTTCCTGTCGGCGGCAGTGGTGGTACTGGTGGTGGTCTTGGGCATGTCCTGGGGGTGGACCTCTGTCCCATACAACACGAGTACCCAGTCCTTCATCTCTGCCCACCTGACTGTAACAGAACATGTATTATAACACACTTCACAGACTTAGTATCTGGCTCAGAGTTGTTTCTCTCACTTTCTTGGCAAGCAAAATAAAATCCATACACATATTAAAACTTCCCTTAAAATTCAATGAAAATTTCTATTTAAATATATCAAGTCTTGAACCAAAACATTCTGAGATATCCTTAGCAGACAGGAATTCTTACAGGTACACAAACTTTGTAAGGTTTTACGTTTTCTTCAAATTACTATTTTCATGATTCAATCAAGATACTGAAAAAGAAAAGTGCAGTGACATAAATATTACTATTTTAATGAAAAAGTTATACAGGGATTAAAAACTGTAACATCAAAACAGTAAAAACAAGATTTTTGCTGAGTAAACATGAAAATAATAACAAAGCTGTAAAAGGCATATTCAAACAAAAAGAAGCGCTTCTATAATGATATGCACTTTTATTTAAGGTCTAGCTGGAAAAAACAAAAACATTCTGTTTTTTTATAGGATACACTTGTGATAATAATTTGCAAGTCTCTCTGACCATGAACCCCAGCTCAATATACTTAAGTTTATAACCAACACTTACCAGCTATATGTAAGTAGCCTCTATTATTAACAAGTTCTGAGATTTTACAAGCTCTGCCTTATAATTATAATGTCATATGAAGAGAGAATTTCATGTCTATAAATAAAAAGAAGACCTAGCTTGCCCACCTTATCATGCCAGACAGAAATGTAGACAAAATGGTCCCTTTATCTCTAGAATTCTGTTTTTGGTGGAAAGAAAATGTATTAAGAAAGACTCTATTTATATACTTTAAAAAAAATATTAAAACACCTCAAAAAAAATAATAGCAAGCAAAATAAGGGAGAAAACTACAAAACATATGACAGCACATTTTTCATGCATTAATAGTACGTAAAAACAAATACATGTTTCTCTGTAAATGTAATACATTTCCATAGAATATATCACATAACATAATGTCAAGTTTTCAAAGTGTTCTTTAAATTTCACCAAAAAGGAGGGGAGTTTATCTCTTTATGTATCATCTGTGTGATAGTCTACTACTCAGAAGGAAAAATGCCTTAAATTTCAATCAGGTAAAAGCTGATGATAATATTCTGCTGCACATTCCATTAAGAAAGTATGTATATGTATCTGGGATTTGGAAGGATGGAAATAGATTATAACAAGTTGATTTCCATCATCACTTTGTCTTACCATGCCTTAAATTATTAGACTGTAAGAATAAGTATTATTGTGTAAACCCCATTTTACATATCTCTACCTCCTAGTCAACTCCTACAGCAAAGAAATGTATGTTCTACATTTGTTGTTTATCACTGCTGAATATAACTATTTAACCTACCTCTGAGAGTTTAACAGTAACATTGAAAGACCCTTCCTTTGTTTTATCAAAAAATAATAATAATCTTTTAGTACGTATAGTGTAGTAAGAATTAACACTAAGAATTTAAATAACATGACAAATTTTCAGACAGTATCATTTCTTCGATAAATGTAAAAAATGTAACAACTTGATGGTCAAATAAATTATTTTGTGTAATTTTTTTTTTCTTTCATAAAAGTATTAAAGTTCTTTTAAAAGCTTAATTTGTTACAAGTTTTTAAACAAGAGTTCCATAAATCTTGACAGTCACCTGAGTATCAGAAGTTTTTCTTCTATGATATATTAAAAAAATATCCACAATTTTTTTTTTTCCAGTGTTGTAGTCAAATAGAAAACATTCCAGTAACAAACAAGATGTTAATATAAAAATGAAGTGGTATGTATACTTCATGCTCTTTAAAAAAAAAGAAACTGAACTAACATACTCTAGGTGTTTCCACACTTTGTGACTAAAAACAAAAGAAAGTGTTCCGCCATGGAAGCAATGGGTGCCTCTACACAGGATACTTACAGGAGCTTGCCCCATTCTCTATCTGGAGGAACCAGGTGCCCTCAGCCTCTTCCCCCCAGTTGTGTGTTGTCATGAAAGCCCAGTTGTTGAAGCCCTCCCGCGACACGTCTCGTCCACGACGAGCTAGGAGAGTAGATTTCGTGTTTCTTGGCGATGTAAGGTAGATCTCAATCTCGCCTCGTCTGGCGGCAGTGAGGGTAATTCTGGCCTGGACGTGCTCAACATACTTCACGTAATTGATGGTACCCTTACATCCATCAGTATTCAGGGAAACAACCATCTTGCCATTCATTGGAATTTGTCTAGACAAGGAAATATAATTTTTACTTAGTAATTGTTAATGGGAAACTAAATTTTTAATTGTTTGTGAGGACAAAATTTTGTGGGTAACTTGTATGAGACTTTGGAAAAGTTGTGATGAACCACTGCTGATCATAACAAGAGGCAATTGCACATTTCAAATTTTTAAATTTTAAATATTCTATATCAATCATAACAAGATACATTAAGGTCAGATGTTTACTTGTTGCGTTCCTGGGAGCGGATCTCACAAATGTGCTGGGGTGGGACAGTGGTCCAGTTGCGAGCGAGGCGGACCATAGCTCCAGCGTCCATCAGACCAAATCCAAACGAGTGGCTTACTGAAAACATAGGAATTGTATACAAGTTATTTCCCTTTCACCATTTGTCATGTTCTCTGATCAATTCAAATACTATTTCTCACAGAGTTATTCATGTTTGTTTCTTACCCAGTCTGCCAACACCATTAGTGACCCAATCCGGAGCATCCAGATTTGCCTTGCGAGCTGTCATCACAACAATGTGCTGCATGTCACGCCACGTTAAATTGGGGCTTTTTATAAAAGACAGTGTGTTAATCATCAAGGAATCATTGCATATTGATAAGTAACTGTACAGTCATTATACACATTTTCTGTTAGCTATGTTCATACAATTTTTTTTAAAATCAATGTTTCAGTATCATCAAAAGAAAACAAAGTTTCAAATTACTGAAGCTGAAATACAACTATAAAACTCAATTTCTTCATAATACTGTAAATCATGTTTTATTCACGTGAACTTAATTTTCGTGTAATAACGCGAGACAATGAGCTCGCGAAAATTTCATTCTCGCGTTTAAAAGTATTCCTTACGATTATATAGAGGAAAAACAACAATTTGTGAAAATTATGTCTCGCTAATAAAAAGTCAATGACTATCTCGCGAAAATAAGGTGTCGCGAAAATTTAGTGATCTACAGTATTCAACTGCAGCCTATTTCTAAGCTGTATATTTACAACAATAACATTGTTTGCTGGACATACTTTGCCTCCAAGGCAAGGGCACAAATCCCTGCTGCCAGGGGGGCACTAGCTGAGGTCCCAGTATGGTTGACAGTGCACATCTTTCTCAAATCTGTGGTCACCTACAACATACATAATAATGAAACGTGAAGGTACTGGTATATATACAATCAAGATTCAGTAATATGAAAGCCAATTATGAGGATGCTTTAAATTTTATCTAAAAATTATTAGGGCTATATTATAGTAATCGAGATGCTTCATTAAAGAAAATAATATGCTTGGGAACACAAATGTAGATTTTAATGAGGCAAGACTTTTTACTTCTTCATATAACTATCTGATCTTAAGAATATCTAAAACTTGACATGCTAGAGATATGACTGCATCCATAACAAGAGGCCCAGGGGCCACAGCGCTCACCTGAGCACATCGGGCTTGAATTTACTACCCCCCCCCCCTTCCAGGCGTTCATCATTTCAACAAACTATAAAATACCTGAGGATGATTCCATATAAAATATTTCTATTACATGGCAAATATGTTTTGAAAATTAAACATATCAACCTCACAAATATCAATTTTAAAATTGCCTTTAAAAGTTAGATATTTCCTATATATTCCAATCCCCTGTGAATCTACACTAAGATGATTCCACATGAGATTCATCTTTCCTGGCCCCTGGAGAAGAAGATTTTTAAAACTTATATATTCCTATGTAAAACTTGGGTCGGCCATTTTGGCCCCACCCGCAGGGGTCATGATCCGCTGCTGTAGGTGGTAGCCAGGGTGGAAGAAGATATTTAAAGATTTTTCCTATATATTCCTATGTAAAACTTGGATCGGCCATTTTGGCCCCACCCTTGCCCCGGGGGATGTTACAAACTTGAAAACTCCGAGGATGATTCCACATGGCACTGCTGATGGAGAGGGTGTAGATACTGTTTGTGTAGCCGTCACAGTTACAGCTGTCCTGGCCTAGTGGTTCTGGAGAAGAATATTTTTAAAGATTTTTCCTATATATTCCCCGTCGGCCATTTTGGCCCCACCCTTGCCCCGGGGGTCATGATTTGAACAAACTTGAATCTTCGACGCCCACACAAAGATTTTTGGAACGGTTCTGGAGAAGAAGATTTTTTAAAAATGCCATTAATTTTTAACACCACGACCCTGCAAAAATAAACTCATAATTGTGCCTCAATCCTGCTTGAGAAGAAGATGAAAAAAAATTTTGACGGACAAATTTTTCAGAAAAGCTTTTTTCATGTGTAAAAATGATTCAAATATTTCTATTACATGGCAAATATGTTTTGAAAATTAAACATATCAACCTCACAAATATCAATTTTAAAATTGCCTTTAAAAGTTAGATTCCAATCCCCTGTATTCTAAGCTTTGCCCCCCTGATAACTTACTATCTGTCGCTCCCCGCCTGATCCACTGCTGTAGGTGGTAGCCAAGCGCCCCCTTACCAAACTCCGTGGCACTGCTGATGGAGAGGGTGTAGATACTGTTTGTGTAGCCGTCACAGTTACAGCTGTCCCCATCACGACCCCCGTTACCCGACGCCCACACAAAGATGGAACCCAAACCACCACGACCCTGCAAAAATGTATCAAAAAATTGAAGAAAATGAAAATTAAATTTGTCTATCATCCTAATTCTCAGTTGAAAATGAACAATTTAGCATAATTTGGGAGGATTATCTTCACTTTAAGTAAAGTTAGACATTATCGTAGCTGTTTCTAAATTCTTGTATTTATTTTCAAATGATTTTTTGAAGATAAAAAATGACATAAATATCATAAAGAGAACACCAAAATAACTGCAATTTTGTAAGCGCCCGGGGCGGTTAATAGAGATTATACGGTATAACATTTTTACAGGACAGATTCAAGACCTTTGTAATTCCATCATAGAAGGCTTTCCTGGCCAGTGTTGCAGGGCCGTCCACTGTTCGACCATCATCGTCTGGGCCCCACGAGGCACTATAAATATCTATGTGGTTATTCCTGAGACTGAGGGACTGAGCTTCAACAGAGTCTGTCACATCACCATCCAACATACGCACACCTAACAAACAGAAATAATATGTGGATAAACAAAGGAAATACTCACAATGACAAATTAATAGCAAACTTGACTTTGAAATCTAATATTGACCTTACTTTACCTTCTTGAACATGATTTTTTTTCTATCTCAAAAACATAATAAAAAAAAATATATGAACTAGTTCAAGGTTGTTGAAATACATGCAGATGAAAAAAAATAACCACCTGTATATCCCTAGAACTCTGATTTCAAGGACACAACAATCTATGAATTTCTTACCTCCAATCCTTGCATTATAAGCCACTCCAACCCCACATACTCCATTATCTCCCTTAGCAGCCACTTCTCCTGCACACCTAGTGCCATGCCTAAAATAGAAAAAGTCATTAAATCTTAACTGCATAAAGGTTTCATAAAAAATGTAATACCAGGATATTTATAAAGATTTGTTGGATATATTGATCAAAGGATAGGTCTAGGAAGTAAACGTTAAATATATTACACCATTTTATTTTTAACATCATACAGCTGTTTTATTCCTAATACCGACTTGAATTTGTTAGGTCTAAATATCAAAAAATGAAACTATTATTTAACAAATCGAAAGGTCATCTTTAAATAATTGTTTGGTTGCCCTTTCCCGACTGACTAAAAATTTCTTGATGAAAAACTTTTTTAATACATGTATATTATTTTATATCCTCTTATCTCATCAACAAATATTTGAAATTTTCTGGAAAAAAGATTTTCCCACCTAGTATCTACCGACCCAATAATTTTACCCTGAGTCGGGAGAGGGCGAACTAACATAATTCTAAAGATAGTCTAACATTAGTGCAAGGATTCTGCAAATGTAACTATTTATTATGGGTACTTGTTATCAGCTGACATATAATCTCAAAAGTGACCTTGACTTCCAGAGGTAAACAAATTACAAATGAAGTGTCTGTCATTAATCTACACTGTTTCACCCTGTGATAGGATTTAGGCCACAGATGTTCCTGGTTACATCTTACTAACAGGTGTTTCCCCTACAGTTATAGCCCCCTAACCACTGCTGATGCCTGTGTGTTTGTACCAACATCTCCCATACACTACAAGTTCATATTTTTCAGGAGGAAATCGATCAGACATTATCAGATAAAGTGGGATTCTTTTCTCCTGCTGTTACCCAATGTATGTTTTATAAGCATTTGATTCTGGGGCATGATATATATCTATCCTAAAAAAAGATGTTTACTTCCAAGCCTTGATGTCTTGTCTGAAATCTCCTCGTGTCTACCACTGATCAAATCAACAGACATTTAAGGAACATCAAAATAAAAGGAAAAAATTTCAATATTCACTAAATTTAAAAGAATTTTGATAATATCTTTTAAAACTATTTTTCATTCGTATTTCTGTTTCAATTTTTTTCCCTTCCAACTAGGTCACATATAAATTAAAGAAAGAGATATGGCGAATCTTAACATGTATCACAGCATCTTCATAATCAATAACATTAACTGCAAAACCATCAACTGTTTTATCTTCATTAACATCCCATGATTAAAACTCAAATATCTTGTACAATTCAACCTCCTAGCACTTTTTTAGACAAACGATCCAAAAGCAATTAAAAGAGAAAAAAAATTCTTTCAGATTACAGATTCCCAGGGCAATGTACGGAAATCTTGAACAGTTCCTACAGAGGGACCAGAGACATTTCAGAGTCTTGTAGAACAAATTAAGACAGAAGATAGTTGGTCAAATCAATACGGAGGACTGATCACACTAACAGAACACCCTGAGAGGCGGCCATTACTGGAAACAGAGGAATCTTCACAGGAGTTCATTAAGAAATTTTAATATTCCAGACATGCTATGTTTTCACAGCTGTAATTTTACATCCTACACCTTAATTTGCTTAATCTTAAATTATACACACTATTCATGTCCATATGTACTATTCCTACCAAGCTGTACATAACCATCACTCAAAAAATAAACATTTTTTTGAGTTTTATAACTATGCATATGTTTTAATAATGCATTGGTGAAAAAATTGCAAAACATCATTTATCCCCTTATAAAATAAAGCTTTGATCATGCTCATGAAAGATTTTCATTCCTGTAAATAGATTATTCACAATGTTCTAAGTTGGCAACACCTTTATTTGACAGGAAACTTAATTATTAAAGTCTCATTACAGATATACCCCCCCAATTTTTAGAAAAGTGTACCAAGTCTTACTAAAATTGGACCAAAACTGTAGGAGTAGGCCTAAAAAGAATTTCAAAGAAATTTCTAATTTTAGTAACCACAACAACACAATTTGTTAAAATAATAAAAAAACAAGAGGCCCATGGGCCACATGACAGGAAATTCTGTTTTTTACCAGATTTTAATTTGACCCCACCCTACCCCAATGATCATAATTTAAACAATTTGAAATCTCACTACCCTAGGATGCTTCCACATAGCTTTTCTTGCCCTGTGGTTCATGAGAAGAAGATTTTCAAAGATTTTCCCTATATATTTCCAATTTTCCCCATTGTGAAAAGTGAACAATTTACAATCTACACTACCCCAGGGTGCTTCTACATAAGTTTCAGCTTATCTGGTCCAGTGGTTCTTGAGAAGAAGATTTTTAAAGAATTTTCTATATATTTCTATGTAAAACTTTGAATTGTGGCCCCATCCTATCCGTGGGAGTCATGATTTGAACAATTTAAAACTCCAGGGTGCTTCCATATATTTCTGGCCCAGTGGTTCTTGAGAAGAAGATTTTCAATGATTTTTTCTATATATTTCTATGTTAAATTTTGATTCCCCAGAATTTCAAAGAAATTTCTAATTTTAATAACCACAACAACACAATTTGTTAAAATAATTAAAAAAAAAACAGCTACCCTGCAGGAATGTATGTGAAAAGTTTACAGACGGACGGACGGACAGACAGACAGACGGAAGGACAGACAGACGGACGGACGACGGACAAAATGTGATCAGAAAAGCTCACTTGAGCCTTCGGCTCAGGTGAGCTTAAAAACAGCTACCCTGCAGGAATGTATCAATCTTAAAAGAGTACTTGTGTACCAAGTATTACTGAACTTGAATCAATTGTAGGGGAAGAATTTTGAGAATTTTTTTTATTTGACAGCTAGACATGGATTGCATACTAGTGAATACCCACTGTGGTCTTTGATTAGTAGAAATAAAAAAAAAGTAAAGTCGTTAACAAACTTCGCATTTTTTGACTACTGATTATACAATCACCTGTTTTCATTGGTGTAATCATAGTGAGGCTGTGGGTCTTCATCATGAGAGTTCACATCGTAACTGGCATCAGGGTCCTAGAAAAGAAAACACAACAGAAGAAAATAAAAAAAAAACATGCCATTTAGCCTCAGATAATAATTTAGTCTCTCGTTGGACATGTACAAGAGGTTATCAAAAACTTTGTGGAATAGCACCATAAAATTTCAAAGTGACTTGGTATAGTCTCAACTATTTTATTTTTCAAGATTTTAACTACAATCATGTGCTTTGAGTTGTGAGATACTAGTACCTCAAAGTATTGCAATAGAGATAACCAGGTTTGACTGTGCTTGGATCCATTCTTTTCAAGAAGTCATTCCCATACTAACCATGCTAGAGTGACATGACCTTATAAACTTAAAGCTTTAGACTGACCTTTAATATTTTATTCTTTATTGCATGAATTTTCATTTTTAAATCTGAGCACTGTACTTATCTCCTACAAATATTTTGTACATTAACCAGTGCAATTAAATCTTTATGACCACAATTAATATCAAGACAATACTTAGGGATTTTGTTTCTCTGTTTCTCATGCATCTTCAAGAAATAAACACATTATTTACATATAAATGCCACTGCAGGAAGCAGGCAGGAGGTGTTACTATTTGAGAGCACCATCATGTATGTTTAATGAGCAGGGAAGCCTCTGAGTTCAATTACAGAGGTTCTGGATTAATAAATGGCCTCTGGTTTCCACTCCCCCTCAACACTCTATCCATTACTCTTTCCACCACGAAGTATTTTTTGCTTTGCCTTCATTAAGCTCCACAAACCATATTTCTCCATTACACAAGATCTGTATAATGCTCCCATGAGTATCAGAAATGTTTTCTGTAGAACAACACAAGCTCTTGCTAGTGAAATACATTTTTGGGTCAATCTAATTAGTATAATTTGATAGGGCTGAAAAAAAATGTGTGTATCTGGTAACCCTATCGACCCTATTAATTTTACTCAACTGACCCTACTACTTTTTATTCCAAATCCGGATTTTGAACTGTATTTTTGTTTTATCACTGTACAGTCCATGAATTGCTTGTCTCAGACACTATATAAACATGTTTATGAAAGTGTTCTAAAGACTACATGATTCAGTTGCATATTTATTCATATATGTTATGTATTTTTTTTAGTTTAAAGTCCAAATCACTTTTATTAACCTTATATCAATATCTTGCTTCATCAGACATCTTTGAAGCCCCCCCCCTAGATTTAAGATAACAGGATTTGCCTGTATAGATAGTACATTATGTAGAGGACACCTACATAGTTGTCCATCAGATCTGGATGGTCCTTCTCTATGCCATCGTCCAGTATAGTGACCACCACTTTCCTGCCCGTCACACCCTGCTCCCACGCACTCTTCACATTCATATCAAGTCCACCTCCTCTTATCTGCAACAAACAAGCTTCATTAATTTCTAAAGAATTAATTAATATTCAAGAAAAACATTTCTGGTGGTACAAAAAAACAAGAATGTCATAAATGACAGTGTCTATTTCAGAAATGATTCAGGCTAAAAATACATATGCAAATATTATAACTAAAAGTGCAATGCTAACAAAGTCTTCTGGAACTGTGGAGACCTATTAGCAATTAATATTTTAGTTAATTGGCCAACAATAGATCCAGGCATAGACTGTAGGGAGTTTCTCTAGCTATCGCACAGATGTGCTAATTGTAATCGAAATGCTTCTTATAAATATATAATGAATTATAGGCTGTAAAAACAACTCTACTTCTTGTTGTTGATTATCTCCATGTCAGAATCTGTGTTTGTATCTCATGCTGAAATGTCATATTGGATAGTGTAGAGGTTATCCCAGACATTTTATTTCCATCATGTACTTGTAAAAACCTCCCGACACAATGACACTTAATGTATATGTGTACTTTGTCAATTGGTATCTCTATCCATTATCTATGATGGGGCAGAGAGTGAGAAACAAAGGTTTTCCATTAATATGATATGGGCAATTAGGATAGTGCATACATGTATGTCATTTTGGGTTCCTAGCAAAAGTCAAATATATACATTTAGATGTATACATATAAACAGTCTGTTACATGTATCATACTTAAAACAGAAACCTTTACATTTAAATGGGTTTCATTATGCAAATTAACCAAAAATCTCCAGAACAGCTAAATGCAGAAATAATTTGACTTTCAAATAATTCTATTTTCTAACTGAAAAGCTTGCTAAATGTACATGTAATTGCTTTAAGCCTTTGACAATTTCAGATATAAGTACAAACTGTAACCCAACTAATATGTTGATGGTGCGACTGTTAGGGCAAGTGCATATACAACAGTGTACTAGTTTATTTAGGTTTTTTTTTTAGATCGGGTTCGACAATCCTATCATAAATTCTTTTGAAGAATGAAAGAAAAAGTGAGCAAGCTCATATACCCCAAGCTCCCCCAAAACTCAAAGTGCCAAAATTCTCGGGAAAAAAGTGCTGAAAATCCCGGAAAAAATAAATGAATTGGAATTTTCTTGTAATATGCAGATCTACACATTGTGTCCTAAATATCTGCAAAGTTTGACAAAATTCTGTGCATCGGTATATGAAAAGTTGCGCTGACCAAAAAAAAAACAGGACTGACTGACACTGACTGAAGGACGGGTCAAAAACATTATACCTCCCGCAACTTGTTGCAATGGGTATAATAAATATAAGAGCATTTTTAATGGCTGCAGTTTATGAATCTTTAAGTACACTTATTTAAATTGTACAGATACTCAGAAAGAAATGTCAGCTACCATCTCTGATATTAGAACCTGAAGCCACACACACAATGATCTCCGAGCTGTCATTACTTCTACTATACTTTGCATGTCTTCAGATTTTTTTCCTTGTTTGCTAATGTTTCTTTTCTGGAGAGAATCAATACAAGTATAGATTTTTGGGTCAGTATTACTGTCTTAAATCCCCTGGAAGCTGTAATTGATTTTTTTTCATACATTTTGATTATTTCTGGACAATAGATGTGTTAAATGAGAGACATAGCAGTCTGGAGAATACTTGTCTTTCCATTAAGGAATTTCTGAGTTTACGAGAGACTTTAGTACTAGATGCTTAATTAAGATCAGCTACTTGAAGAGAAATCATTAAGTTTATTGTCAAATATGTAATATTAAAAAAATGATCAGGTCAAACTTATCTGATGTGGAAAGATGAAACCTGATGATCAAAATGGACAATGCTCAATAGACATAAGAAAAAAATCAATTTAACGACTTCAAGGTCAAGGGTCAAGGCCATAGTAATCTGGGTTCTAGATCACTTCCATATGATGTTATATTTCTATTTTTAATTTGCTTGTGTCCCTGGTGAACAGGTTACAACTAGCAGTCAGTGCTGAAGAAATCTGTTGACCCAGACGGAATCGGACAGACCAATAAAATGATTTACAGATCATCTATGGAGTCTTTAATCATTTCCTCTGAAGGTATGCAGTAATTTTCATTTTTTTTTGCAAACATAAGCCGTGATTCCTCTTAAGCCAAAGATTACTTGATAACAGAGAAATGCCTTACAGTTTTTCTTTATTTTGTAAATTTCAGATGTCCTAATGAAGTAAGTTAAACGATTTCCACCTAGACAGCGAATCTGCATCTGATGACGTTAGACTTGTACACAGAACAAAATGTCAGCCAATTAAATCTCATTACAATGATAATAATGACTCTTTATCTACCTACAACCAAATACCCAGACACCAACCATAGTTATTAGCCTGTTATGGTCTCGGAACAATCTCAAAAAACTATCATAAATTTGGGTTGCATCAAGGTCAATATTTCTACCGCCAGGCCACGGATTATCAATGTCTATATGACCCAACATATCTATGTTTTTTATGACTGATCACAGGATATTAGATAAAGTTCACTTGACAGCAGATTTCCTAGAGCAAACTTAAATCATCTGAAATGTGCGGATTGCACTTTTTCAATACAATTACTGTCCAATTAAGGTGTCATTAGAAAGCAATCCTGATGCTCCGACAACATCAGGCCACATATTTGTGGATCTCCACGTATTTATGTTCATATCTGGAAAAATATTGTACTTGGATCAATAGAAAGCTGCCATTAAAGATACTAGCCTGTCATTAAGTGTATTGTCCAGCTATTGCTCAACATAAAGGGAAATTCTACAATTGTCAATGGTTCTATCTGCCAAAAACAATTATGGAGAAAACAATGCAGCAAAATGCTTACATTCCAGAACAATGTGGAAGGGTCTAGAATTCTACAATATCAAAGCCTGGTAATCGTAATATCACACATAAGCAGTTAAAGATTTTCCCCTCATACCGGCATTCAGAAAATTTCTCCATCAAAAGTCAATACTTATCAAATTCCAGCCTCCCCTCAGTTGAAATACGACATTCATTTCTTTCTACAAGCATAGAAGGTTTAAAAATTTGATTTGAAAAAGAAACTTTAAATTGATTTTTAAAATACAGTTCAAATCTCTTAAATTTCAACTCTTGTTTAAATCAATACAAATATACAGTGAAACTTGTTTTATCCAGATGTTGTGTAATCCAAAATCTTGCTGTTTATGATCTAGACTTTAACATAGAACCTACACTATATAACGTATAGCTAAATAAATGAATCCAAGACTGTCTAAGGTAACAAGAGGCCCACGGGCCTTATAGGTCACCTGAGTATTGTGTAACAACTTTCAAACAATTAAATTTGGTTCATGTTTTAAACCAGGGGCCATGAAATTCACAATTTACAAGTTTGAAAGAGGCACCATTGCTTATCACAATTATTAACTTAGCATGCTTACTCTATTTACTTAATACACAGAGGTAGATCAGAGTAACAAAGAGAAAATGCACTTCCACTTCATACCCAGTTGTGCACCTCACCCTAAAGGAACCACTGACCCATGGGCCACATATTTCAAAATTTTGCAAATGTTACCATAAAATGGTTGATTAACACCAAAGAGCAGATTTCAAAGCATTAATTTATTTTCAGACTATGTAAACCCCCCCCCTCTGACCCTGGGGGCATAAAAAGAACCACTTTGCTAGATGCACCTTTCTTCATCATAAATATATATATACTTGGATCATTGGCATAAAACCAGAAGCAAAGGAAAATATTTTCAAAGAATTTATTTTTACTATACAATTAATAGAGCCCCTCCCTAACACCAGGACCCCTAACCCCGGGGCCATAAAATTCACAATTTTGGAAGAGGCATTCTTGCTCATCATAACTATGTGCTAAATTAGTTTATTTGATACCCAGAAGCAGAGAAGAAGATTTTCAAAGAATAATGAATTTTCACTATATAATCAATAGAGCCCCGCCCTAACACCAGAACCCCTGACCCTGGGGCCATAAAATTCACAAATCTGGAAGAGGCACTCTTGCAAATCATAACTATGTACTTAGTTAGTTTATTTAATACACAGAAGCAGAGAAGAAGATTTTCAAAGAATTAATGCATTTTCACTATATAATCTATAGAGCCCCACCCTAACACCAGAACCTCTGACCCTGGGGCCATAAAATTCACAAATCTGAAAGAGGCACTCTTGCAAATCATAACTCTGTGCTTATTTAGTTTATTTAACACCCAGGAGCAGAGAAGAAGATTTTCAAAGAAATAATGCATTTTCACTATATAATCTATAGAGCCCTGCCCTAACACCAGAACCCCTGACCCTGGGGCCATAAAATTCACAAATCTGGAAGAGGCACTCTTGCTCATTATAACTATGTGCTTAGTTAGTTTATTTAATACCCAGGAGCAGAGAAGAAGATTTTCAAAGAAATAATGCATTTTCATTATATAATCTATAGAGCCCCGCCCTAACACCAGTACCCCTGACCCTGGGGCCATAAAATTCACAAATCTGAAAGAGGCACTCTTGCTTATCATAACTATGTGCTTAGTTAGTTTATTTAATACCCAGGAGCAGAGAAGAAGATTTTCAAAGAAATAATGCATTTACACTATATAATCTATAGAGCCCCGCCCTAGCACTAGAACCCCTGACCCTGGGGCCATGAATTTCACAATTTTGGTAGAGGACTCAATGCTCATTACATTCATGCCAACAGTTTGCCTGCTTGATCTCCAGGAGTAAAGAAGAAGATTTTTAAAGATTGCAATAATTTTAGTGGTTTTGGCCCCACCCCTCAGGCCCCAGGGGGGTGGGGACCATGAAATTCACAATTTTTGTTCCCCTCCACCCATAGATGCTGTATACCAGATTTGGTTGAAATTGGTTCAGTGGTTTCAGAGAAGACCTCATAAGTTACTCAGGTGACCTAATAAAAATATATGTAACAGAGATAAGGTGAAGGGAAGGCACTATTTTCAAAAGGCACCGTGTAATTCATGGACTGGAG